GGTTAACAGAGGGAAAGGGGTAAGTGAAGAAGGGGAAAAGGGTGATTAGGCACGTGTGTGGTGATGGATTGTAATTAGTCTTTGGGTGCTGAACATGATGTAGTCTACACAGAAAATGAAATATATAACCATGTACACCTGAAATTTAGATAATGTTATAAACAAACATTGCCGCAATATAAAAAAAAAGAATCTCATAACCCCAGTCTAATCATGGGAAAAATATCAGACAAATGTCAGTAAAAACACATGCTACAAAATACCTGATCAATACTATTCCAAAGTGTCAAGTTCATCAGAAACTATGAAAGTCAGAGAAACCGTCAGAGCCAAGAGTGGTTTAGCCAAGGGGATCTGGTCTAAATGTAATACGGTGTCCTGGATAGGGTCCTGGAACAGAAAAAGGACATTAGGCAAAAAATTAAGGAAATCTGAATAAAGCATGAACTTTAATTAATAACAATATGTCAATAATGATTTATTAATTGCAACAAATATACCATAGTAATGTAAGATAATAATGGGGGTAACTGACTGCAGAGTATGGGAACTCTCTGTACTACATTTACAATTATTCTATAATGTACAACGGCTCTAAAAATGAAACTTGTTTAAGAATGAAAAAGGATAGACGCTAGGCCACAGAGTACCAGTGGATGAGATTTCAGTGCTTAATTCATCAGCACTAGCCCTTTTAGACAGCCTCATGTTCTAAAGCCAAGAAAAGTCTATGAAAGAAAAACTTAATTACATTCAAATATCTTCTCCACAGAGTATGAGTCACACTCACAAATGGCCTCTCCAATTTATTAATTATATTAATACTTCTAAATAATTCAAGTCTATAGCTTCACGCATTTAAAAGCTTTGGGACCCTTTTCATAGAAGGAATATGCAATCTCCCCAGCTTGAAACATCTCAAATTATCTCTACCTCAAAAAGAAATCAGAAATATAAAAGTCTGATTCTTGGAATACTGTCTCTGAGAGAAAAAGGAGTCTTTTCTGGTGTTTGTTTTGTTCTAGTTTGTTTTCTGAGATCTACACTTAAATGTAACTATCAGAATGTAGTTATAGAAAAATGAAGGGTAAAAAAGAAAAGCTGATTAAAGTAGTGGAAGAAAATTTTCCTTAGGAGAAAGACTGAGGAATTTATGATGGGCTAGTGAACAATGTAAGGAAAAGTGAGACTCTAGAGCTCAGGCTAGAGATATGTGAAAGTAAAAATGAGATGAACCTGTATTTAATTATTTGGAAAAAAGAAATTGAAAAGAGAGAGATGCTTTCATTGTTTCTAGATTGGAGAGGGTGACCGAGTTTCAAAAAAAAAACCAACAGATGAAATTCAAGAGCTGTTACATAAAATGCTTATACATTTTAGAGGGAAAGAAACAGGAAAATTAGTCAAAACAGCTTACAGGATTTTCAGGCTGACACATGTATTGTAGGTAAGGATGCAAGTATTTCTGGTGTGCTAGGGAAAAATCATTAGGCTATTTGAGGAATTAGGTCTCTGAAAGTAGAAGCAATGAACACGAGGTCTACTAAGGCAGGGGGTATCGCAGAAATACTACATGAGGTCGAGGTGAGGGTTCCACGTTCTTTTGATAAAATAATTCTTAAGTGGCATTATCCATGGTGAGGTGAAGATGGACAAAATCTATTAAATGGAAGTTCTTTTATCAGAGCCAGAATTTATTGACTTCCTGTCTTTCACTGTGAGGAATCAACAAATGTAATCAAGAAGAGTATTTTGGAGAAAAAAATATATCTGAGAACTTGAACACAAAAGATATGTTAAAAAAAATAAAGGTATGACATTCCAACCAATAGTGTTAGCCACAAGATAGTAGAAAAAGAAACAGACTGCATTTAGATATAGGAGAAGATTGTTGTATATCACCTGGCCATTTCTAAAATAAGTGGGGTTCATAGAAGTCTTTAAACCCTAGAGGAATATCCCACAAAAGGGAGCAAAAGGATGTAGCCAACAGAAATTTTACTCATGGCCTGGAACAATCAGAAGTAGAGGGAAGACAGGGTCTTGAGGAGCAAATGGCAAAGGCTTTGGGTATCCCTAGGCCCTTTGGGGTTAAAACCAGAAGGAGCAACAGCAGGTGTAGTGCTGTTTACTGGTAACTTTAGAACCCCAGTGCCAGGGATCCTCCTGCTGATGGTGATCATCCTGCTGGAACAAACGTCCTACCCAGCAAGGCTTTTACATATAAGCAATCTCACAGCAAGAGACATCAGCAGCAGGGAGTAAAAAGCCTGCTCATGAGTAGTTACCAGACTGTGTTACCACCTAGGGCCCAAATCAGCTCAGCACCAGGACATCAGAAATCTATTGAAATGAATATAAGAAGTTTTAGACATTTTATGAATCAGGGTCCCGGCAGGAAATAGATAACACACTCAAATTGGGTATTTGGAGGAAAACTTAATAACGTGGGAAGTATATAGGGAAATAATAAGGAATAGAGCTGTATGATAGGGTCTGGAAATGGATGTCATTATCAGCTTTAGACCTAAAGCACAAGGACAGAAGTTTCCAAAACCCCAAGAAAGGGCTGAATGGAGAGGTTACCTGATATGAGCTATAATCTCCCATCCAGGAACCTTGCCACTCTGCTATGACCTTCACTGTCCTGTGTCTCTCTAATTTCCTATTGGCCAAAACCAACTGGAAACTGAAATAAAAGGAGTCCATTGACGCAAGTCAGCCTCTCCAGTAGCAGAGCATGGAGGATAGGGGCAGACAATAAAGAAAAGATACCCAAGCCAGTTGACATAAATTCCACTTCTACAGAGCAGACAATTTGCAGAGCTGAATTTCCCCCCTGGTATGCTCACCACAGAACCATAATTAATATCTTTAAAAGTTTTTATTACAAAAATGCAAATACCTGGGGCCGGCACGGTGGCGCAGGGGTTAAGTGTACACATTCCGCGTTGGCGGCCCTGGGTTTGCCGGTTCAGATCCCAGGTGCGGACATGGCACCACTTGGCAAGCCATGCTGTGGTAGGCGTCCCACATATAAAGTAGAGGAAGATGGGCACGGATGTTAGCTCAGGGCCAGTCTTCCTCAGCAAAAAGAGGAGGATTGGCGGCAGTTAGCTCAGGGCTAATCTTCCTTTAAAAAAACACAGATACGTAAAAAACGTACAGAATAAAATAATACGCCTCCACATACTCATAATGCAACTTCAACAATTATCACCTCTGGGCCAATCTAATTACATCAATACCATCATCTTCTCATCCTCTCCTGTGTTAATTTAAAGCCTACCCTAAATAACATATCAGTTTTTTATCCTCAAATATTTCAGTGTGTATCTTTCTACAAGATAAGGATGATGTTTCTTAACCATTATTAATATACTGAAAATGTCAACAATAATTCCTTAATATTATCAAATATTTAGTCAGTGTTCAAGTATCTGACTGTCTCATAATTAATAATTATGTTTATTCATTTTAAAGGTTTTTCGGGGGATCAGAATCCAAATAAACCTCATACTTTGCAACTGGTGGATATATCTCTCAAGTCTCTTTTAATCAGTAGAATCTCTCATCATCTCTTATCTTCCCCTACAATTTATTTATTGAAAAAACTCTGATCGTTTGTCTTGAAGAGTTTCTCAAAGTTTTAAACTTGCTGACCCCACCCCTGTGGTGTGACTTAATGTGTTTCTCTTCAACAACTAACTTGTTGAATGGCTATTTCTCACAACTGAGTTTAAATTCCCCAATCATGGATTACTGGACAGGTGGCAAGACTGACGGACATCCTGGTAAGGCTAAACCAAGCAAACTTCTGCCTACATTTCCATCCTCAGACGTAGTCTGATAGAGTCTTTGATGGCAATAGAATTTAGTCTAAATTATACTACACAACCTGGGTTCTGAGACCAAAATTTTGCCTAGAACTGCTCTGGAGTTGAAAACAGGCTTTGTTTGCTAAATTTTCTGTGTGTTGGTTTGATGCTGTGAACTTCTTAATTCTCTGGATTCAAAAAAGGTAGAACATATGAAATATGACTTAAGATATCCTGAAGGAACAGCACCATTGCAGAGAAGAGCAATTCTGTCACGACTGTACCCAGGAATCAGAGTGAGGACCTGTAGCCAATAATGAGCAGAATAAATCTTGGTGAGGATTAATTTGTACATGAATTTACAAAAACAGGTGAAATTAATTTGGGACTGATAATTTTACTCTATAATTTGATAATAAGGAGTTATATCAAAATTCACAGCATTATTAACATTGTTGGTTATAACATTATAGCATTTGACTTCATTTCCCAAGCTCTGCTGAACTCCTTTGGAGCATTTTGCCAGGCATAATTTGGAACAGGAAGAAGAATTAGAGGAAAACTTCAGGCAACTATAGAACTGGGTCCTGAAGCTAATTTAATTAGCTCTTCTGACCAGTTTCAGAGCCTTCTAGGGGTAACAGTTTAACTCTCGTCAAGTAGTTCCCATAGAAAGCAAAAGAAAGCAGTGCATGGTATTAGAAGAGAGCTTTCCTGAACATGAGTTGGCACTAGTCTCCTCTCCTAAGAGAGACAGGCCGCTGGTTGATCACAGGTGGTGATGATTACACTAAATGGGTTCTAATAGAACAAAGACCTAGAGAGTATCAAAGAGACTTATTCATCTCCCCATCATGACTCCACAGAAGGATGAGAACCTTCACTCCTCAGGACAGAGAATGGGAGCAACACTACTTATCTCTGGCCCTAAGTTACTCTTACCTACTTAATCGATGAGACTGAAGAAGCCACTGGGCCTATGCAGTTCAGCCCTTCCTGAATTTTCTCTAATCTTTTCCAAGTGATTCTTCCATGAGAGAAATATCTTTTTTGCCCCTTCATACAGTCAACTTCAACTTCCTGGGACAGATTCTTCCCTAAAAAGGAAGATTTTCCATCTTGGGAAGTAATTTATATTTAGAGATACTACATTTGATAGCTTAATTCAAGCCATAGGAAACATTGTTTCTCCAGTTCAGTTTTATTCATGGTAAAGCTAATGCTTCCACTTAAATATGTGTGATTCCTGAGACTATTTCTCAATTGACACCAAAGTTGAGAGGGAGACTTGTTGTTTGTCGCCCCCTTTAAATCTTCAATAACCTATTTCCAAGTCCCCAGGCAGTCTAAGAGACAGATTCTAAAGATGCCACCAGGCTGAGGCAGGAGCAGAGGTGATTGTTGATGTTCCTTTTGGATCAATGAGTAGGTAGGAATATGTCCTGTAGAATAAGAACATAATCTCATGAGCACAAAATGGGATGAAGGATAAGAAGGACGCATTTGACAGAATGCAGTGTGTTCTTATTTATTGGTTGGTCAAGAATAGTTCAGACCATTCTTTCTGTCTGTACCTTTAGTTAAGAAAAGAAGAAACAAACTCCCAACCACGAATATCTCATAGTGAACATCCCACATCCCAGCAAGAACAGTGACCCTGCATCTTGCATCTAGAAGTCTCAAGCTTTGTACATGAATTACACCATTGAGCAATGGACAAAGAAGGCAGTCTTGAACCTTTTATTATAGTATTTGTAAAAAGTAACATCTCTCAAAAATGTTGCAACTACTTATCCCAGTTTCTCACTTATTATTTAACCTTGTTGGTTTGTTGGTTGTCATGATTTTTTGGTTTTGGTTATTGCTATATAAAAAATTTATATTTGTATACAGTCCTATATATTATTTTTTGCTGTATAGTTTCCAGCCATGCCATGCTTGACATAATTCTGCCATTTAAATGCTGTTTTCAACATAATATTTTCCAACCTGAAATTATAAAAATTAACCACAACTCTGTTTATGAGGACAAGGCTAAACGTCTGATTTTAATTAGGCTTTCAATTCTACTTCAGTTAGTTAATTTTCTTCATTTCTAATTAATATTTAAAACTTTAAATGAAGTGCTTGAGTAAAAAAAATATATAAAATGGGTAAATGAGCTGTCCGCCTGTCTTTTTTTTTTTTTTTTTGGTCCTAAGATCTTAAATTTGGGGAAAGTTATCCCAGTATTTTCCACCAGTAACTAATGTAGTTTTTCCTTGATATATTTTGTACAATTTAAGGTTAAATCAAATATATTTCCATTAATATGTATTGGATGATATACTAAGTAAGTACATAAAGTGATATATAAATTACAAAAAGTTAAATCCTGATTTCAAATTATATTATAAAACTATAGTAATCAAAACACTATGGTGCTGGCATGAAAACAGACACATAGACCAATGGAACAGAAGCAAAAGCCCAGAAATAAACCTACACATATAAGGTCAAATGGTATTTGACAGGGAGCCAAGAATACTCAATAGGGAAATTATAGTCTCTTTAATAAATGGTGTTGGGAACACTAGATATTCACATGCAAAAAAATGAAATTAGACTTCTATCTTATACTCACACAAATTAACTCAAAATGTATTAAAGACTTAAATGTAAGACCTAAAAGTGTAAAACTCCTAGAAGAAAATAGGGGAAAACTCTCTGACATTGGTCTCTACAATTATTTTTGGATAAGACACCAAAAGCACAAGCCACAAAAGCAAAAATCAACAAGTGGCACCACATCAAACTAAAAAGCTTCTGCACAGCAAAAGAAACAATAAACAAAATGAAAAGTAAACCTATGGAATGGGAGAAAGTATTTGCAAATCACACATCTGATAAGGAGTTAATATCCAAAATATATAAGAAACTCATACAACTCAATAGCAAAAAAACAATGAATCCAATTTAAAAATGGGCAAATTACCTGAATAGATATTTTTCCAAAGAAGATATAAATATAAAATGGCCAACAAGTACATGAAAAGGTACTCAGCATCACTAATCATTAGGGAAATCAAATCAAAACCCAATGAGATATCACATGTGTTAGAGTGGCTATCATCAGAAAGACAAGAGATAAAAAATGCTGGTAAGGATGTGGAGTTAAGGGAACACTTGTTCACTGTTGGTGGGAATGTAAATTGGTGCAGCCACTATGGAAACCAGTTTTGAGGTTCCTCAAGAAATTAAAAATAACACTACCATATGATTCAGCAATTCCACTTCTGGGTATATATCTGAAGAAAATGAAATCACTGACATGAAGAGATATATACACCTCCATGTTCATTATAGCGTGATTCACAAACAAGTCATGGAAACAACCTAAGTATCCGTTGATGGATGAATAAAGAAAAGATGGTATGTATATATAGAGAATGGAATGATATTCAGCTATAAAAAAGAAGGAAGTCCTGGGGCTGGCCCCGTGGCCGAGTGGTTAAGTTCGCGCGCTCCGCTGCAGGCGTCCCAGTGTTTCGTTGGTTCGAATCCTGGGCGCGGACATGGCACTGCTCATCAAACCACGGTGAGGCAGCGTCCCACATACCACAACTAGAAGAACCCACAATGAGAAATATACAACTATGTACTGGGGGGCTTTGGGGAGAAAAAGGAAAAAATTAAATCTTTGGGAAAAAAAAAAAAAAGGAAGTCCTGCCATTTGTGACAATAGGGATGAACCTTGAAGGCATTGTGCTAAGTAAAATAAGTTAGACATAAAAATAGAATACTGTATGGTTTTACTTATATGTGGAATATTAAAAAAAAAAAAAACAAATCTGTAGAAACAGAGAGGAGATTGGTCGTTGTTAGGTGCTGGGGGTAGGGGGAAAAGGGATGTTGATCAAAGGGTAAAAACATCCAGTTACAAGGAGAATAAGTTCTGAGGATCTAATGTACAGTATGGTGACTATAATTAAGAATACTGTATTGTATACTTGAAATTTGCTAAGAGATTAGATCATTTTTATTTTATTTTTTTTTAAAGATTGGTACCTGACCTAACATCTGTTGCCAATCTTCTCTTTTAGTTTTTTGGGGGGGTTTAGGGGGTTGGGGGTTTTTTTCTTCTTCTTCTCCCACAGCCCCCCAGTTCCTAGTTGTATATTCTAGTTGTAGGTCCTTCTGGTAGTACTATGTGGGACGCTGCCTCAGCATAGATTGACGAGCAGTGCCATGTCCAAGCCCAGGATCCAAACCAGCGAAATCCTGGGCCACCACAGTGAAGCACACAAACTTAACCACTCGGCTATAGGTGGGCCCCAAGAGGTTAGATCTTAAATGCTCTCACAGTAACAACAACCACAAGATGGTAATTATGTGAGGTGAAGGATCTGTAAACTAAACTTATTGTGGTAGTCATTTTGCAATATATATGTGCATTAAATCATCACATTGTACACTTTACACTTACACAATGTTTTACCTCAATTATATCTCAATGAAGTTGGAAAAAATAAATTCCTTATTCCATAAAAAAAGTTAATGTTATGAAATTTTGAAAAGACGTTAGCAATAGAAGTTTATTTTTTAATCTTTTCAAATTCCCACAGAAAAACTGCCTGAAAAACTAGAAAACAAAGCCAAAAGCCCATGAACAATTTTTACCATAAATCTAGGTGACAATATTTCCCAAGAACCCAAAATACAAGTGAGTGAGAACAAACAAGCAAGAGCCTCAAGAACTGCATGTTCCTGGCTGTATGTAGGAAGCAGAGGCAGCTGCTTCTGATCAGCCTAAGAACAAGAGCCAAGCAGGAATCAGCAGAATACGTTGATGACCAAAGTAAGAAGAGCAGCTGAAACTCAGGGCTCTGCCTATTCCAGTAACAGCTGAGTGCAAGTGTCCTACATGAGGTGTAAAAGGTGGGAGCAGTCTGTGCCAGGTGAACACTCGAAACTGAACCCCCACAGCTTCCTTCCAGGCAGAGCCCCAGGTGAGGAGAAACTGCTGAGGGAGTAATCACAATTGAGCAGACCAGGGACAAAAGAGATAAAGAAGGAGACAATCCAGATAAAAATGGAACAGAGCAACATAGCCAGGAAATTTTTTAAAATGAGCCATTGCATTTTTAGTAGTATAAGAAAACAACAAAAGAGAAAGCTTTGTGAATTTAGAAAAGCTATCCTGATACACACCTCCTTCTACAAGTTTAGGTCTATGTAAAAGTGACTATGTACAAAAATGTTTTAAATGCTACAGAATGTAAGTCAAACTTCATACAAAATTATTACAAGAAAAAGGAGAATAAGAAGCAAAATACCATTTCTACAGACAATGAAAGCACTTCAAAAAGACATGTCCAGAGAAAAGACAAAAAACATAGCCTTATAGAGATGAGATAATGGTACTCAAGGAAGACTTAGAAATAAAAGAAAAAGAGGCAATTCATAATCAAAGCCTGACTTACTGGGAGCACAAAAATTAATACAAATGAAGAATAGTGCCTTAAAAGAAATTGGGGGGAAAAGGAAGAATAAATTTTAAATCACAATGGAATGAAGAAAGAGATAGGGGTTTTAGAGAGAGTAAAAAATATTGAAAAATAGCCAAAGAAGAGCAAATCTACAGTTAATAGGAGTCCCTAAACAAGAAAACTGCAGCAGGATAATAGAAAAAACTCTAAAAACACTAACAAGAAACTTTCCTGAAATTAAAAAAAAAAAGAATTTGAAACTAGAAATTGAAAAAACAAACTACCTATCTGAGAGTACTGACCCAGAAAAACCAACACAAAGCCAAATCTTAATATAATCAGTAGACTTTAAAGAAAAAGAAAAATTCCTTGGGCATCTCTGAAAAATTGCAGTGACTTATATATAACAGGAATAAAAGTAGATCATCCTAAGAGTTTTCGGTAATAACATTCTTTGTCAAAATAAAATGAAGTAACTTAGTTAAGATGCAGCAGTTAAGTGTACACATTCCACTTCAGTGGCCTGGGGTTTGCCAGTTCGGATCCCATATGTGGACATGGCACCGCTTGGCAAGCCATACTGTGGTAGGCATCCCACACATAAAGTAGAGGAAGATGGGCATGGATGGTAGCTCAGGGCAAGTCTTCCTCAGCAAAAAGAGGAGGATTGGCAACAGATGTTAGCTCAGGGCTAATCTTCCTCAAAAAAGAAATTTTTTTTTAATAAAAGTACTTTCAATCATTTCAGAGAACTTGGGTCAAAGGACAATGCAAATTCATGTGTTCTATTTCATTTTCTTGATTAAAACTCATGCACAATAATTTTTAATGGATTTATGAAATGACTAAAGAGTAGCAAGGTTGTTCTCAGTTTTTCATTATTTAAAAAAACAAAAGAATAAATAAACATATATATTTGTTCATTTTTTGTTATAATATCTATAACAACTACTTCTGCTTATGTAGAATATTTT